AGTATGTCATGTGCTTATTTACATTTGCAGGGGGTGGAGTCGTATAGCAAAGCGTAAGCAACCTTTTTATTAAGTATAAGAAAAGTACGTTATGTAGAGGTGGATAGTATTGAAAAGTAATCTTTTATCATTTATTGAGCATTACACGTTATTTATATGTTGATAGTGATAAATGATGTGCTTTTATTACTCTGATGCATATTTGAATATACGCGCATTGTCGTCATATAACTTTTGTTTATGTAATTGAAGATGAAGTCTTTCGGATATACGTAGAATCCCACACAACTTGGACCTGTTAGAGATTAAAAAAATGGTCAAATTTCAGCGTGTTGTTAATAATAGTCCCTTATTCACTTTTATGTAAATCCGATCCTCGTCAGTAAGGCAGTGATTATTGCACAATTCTATTTTTGCAAATGCTGTAATTGTCATGAATTAAGAATGTTTTATCCACATTCTTATGGTGGATGCCTGACCGACGTGCAGATACGGTTGGCCCAGCTATGTAAAAAACTCGTTCACTTGGTGTGCACACACAATACCTTTTGCGAGACCAAGGCTGCCAAGCTTTCTAATTTTCCAAAAGCAGAGAATATCTCCATCTACAACGTTGTTCGGGTATGACGTAGCCAAATATGCGGTGCACTCTTTCTCGATGACAGAGGTCACACTATCTTCAACGTTTGAGTGCTTCAGACTGAGCAACGAGGAAGATGAGTTAGAAGGAAGTTCATCGCATTCATCTGATGTAGTTACCGATTAGAAACCCATTTGAATATTCGTTTTTTAATGATGTCCGTACAATAAATTCATATCATATAGTACGTACAAGAAATTGGTAATCGAGCGTTCATCCAAAGCACTTTTAATGCATTTCAGGTTCATAAATCGAGGATCAAGTTAAGTCGAAATCAAAATTAGGTCCTTAACAGGAAACTTTCGATTCAGATGCTCCTTCATCCCCAGATTCATGTGTGTCATGGCAGCAAGTCCTCATTTTTTTCACTGATACAAGCTTCTATCTCTGATCGAAAGAGCATGGCAATGTTAACTGTTGCATTCTTTTCAGCAGACAACAGGGTTACTATAATCTGTAAACCAAAATGGAATTTTACTACAATCTTTTCGCCACCATTATGTCACCATGTTTTAGAAACAGACTAGAGTAAAATCACATTGGAACTAAAATGAAACTTTTCACACTAGACGTTCGGTACGTGATCGACTTTTAACTGGCACATTTTTAACTTGTCCGCTAACTGAGACAATGCTTCAGTTGAAGTACATTTTCTGCCAAAATGATGCAATTTCAAAATGTCAAGATTAACTGGATGAACACTGATGCTTTTTAAATGCATTTCAATTAGTGAATTCCGTTCGTTAGGTGAAAATCAAACATTATTTTCTCAGCTATCGAATGTCTAGTGTATCAGTAAACAAACATCTGATCTTCAATGCACTGATTGGATAGTAATTTTCAAACCCTATATGGTCACCAATCGGTCAGATGGAACTTATTAGTAGGCTTAGTTGCTAGAGATATAGCAACAATAGTTTACAGTTATAGTTTCAGAACCACGACTTAAAAAAAAACTCACCTCAAACGGCTCAAGAAAGTTTCGGAAGTATTCAGCTAGCGCCCACTCATGTGCTGTGAATATGAGATCGGGAGACGGTTCAATAAAGCATTCACGCCAGCTCTATTTAGTTCGAGACTTTTCATCATATTACGTAAGTAATGCTAACGTGTTACGCTTATTGTTTTAAGTGTTGGGGCTTATTTAGGTCCTTGACGAAACATTGACATTCGTTTCACACAAACTCGGAAGTTGAGCATTTAGCTCCTCCTCCATACTAGATGCACAACAAGCAGATCACTTTCTCCTTCAATATATGTATTTTCACGTCACTTTTCCACGTTTCACTTTAAAGGTTTTTTCCTCTCGAAGTATCAATCGACAGAAAATTCAAGGGAATTTTATTTAAATTCAAATTCGACATCGCTGAAGTCGTCGTGAATGGAAACAAAACCTCCAAAAATCAAATGCGTAAAGACGAGACCGATGCGCAGGATCTATAGGTGAGGCAGAAGGAAACGTAAGTCGACTGTTTCATTCATCCGGTGTTCTCATCGGATCGAGAGAAAAAAAGAGTTGGCTAGTTTCCTTCTGCCTCACCTGTAGATCTGGCCGTTCTTGCTCATCGAGACGAAACCAGTGAACTGAGATTTTTGACGTTTGATCAGCGCACCAAAACGCAATTTCGAACAAGTACGAGCAGGAGGACAAATAGTGATTCATCCCTGTGTGCTAGATAGAGCAAGTGCGAACAAACGTCAAAAAACTAATAGCGAATTCGTTTATTATTCAGTTCCAATCTGGATCGGGTGTCAAAATTGGGTCTGCTTGTTTTCTGACAAACGTCAGTTTGCTCGTTTGTATTTAAAACCCAGCTCCGGTTGAGGTTCGCACTGCCAAAAAGTTCGGTTTCGCACTGATAATAAACGAATTCGCTATAAATGACGCTTGTTTGAGGATACTCAAACATGAGTCAGACATTTTCATTTTCATAACTTCTTTCGAAACGTCAAAGCATGAGTAGTTGGGATTTCTGAATATGAGCAACATTGACTCAACAATAAATAAATAAAGGTGGATCTCAATTTTGAGATTTCAGCGACTTGTTGACTCAAAAAGAAGCAAACTGGAATTGTGAGCAGGCTTGAAAAATCTCATTACATTACATTACATTTTATGTAAGATGCAAGAAGAGGAGGTAAAGTTTGTATAGGACACATAAAACCTGTCAATTTTGCATTCACAGGGTCACAATTAGCTATTTTAGCTGTAATGAGATATTTCAATGAGTGAATACCCTCGTTATAACTAATAGGTAATTGCAATCCTTTGGAAGTGACATTGACAGGTTTTATGTGTCCTACACAAGCTTGTATCTTACATATAAAAATTATTATTTCAATTTCCCATAGTTTCATAATTTCTTAAAGTAGTTTTTTAACTGTAATGAAATTTTTCATCCCTGATTGTGAGAATGTAAAAATACGAAGTTTTCCTTTCCGTCGTAGAAGAAAATTTGAAAATTTCGAAAGAATTCATTAGAAAATGATGCAAATTGGATGCAGAAACGTACCGCAAAATAATTGGAAATTGTTTTGCATATTGTTTTATTTGATGCTTGATTTAACTGTTTTTCAGTTTTTGGTTTATTAATCCTAAAGAAAAAACGAAAAGACACGAAATATTTGCCCATTTGTGTATTTTTGACTCATTTCCCTATATTTTGGATTCTATGGAAATGAGTGGAAATAACTCATCAACAAGTACCTTGCCATTTTACTCAAAATTTAGTTCTGGCTTTGTTACTAAATTTAGAGTAGATCCGGTTGTAATGAAATTGAGTGAGTTTTCACTAAATTTTGAGTAGCCATGAACGAGCGTGCACACACGTTCAAATTGCAACGCATTCAAGATGCATTTTACCGAAGAGGTGTTGCGGATTTATCATCGGTGTGACATACATTTATCCGGCGGCGTGAACAATTTTACTGCGGCGGCGCGCCGGTTCAATTTCATCGGCGGCGGTGGCGTATGAAAATCGTCGGCGGCGGCGGCGTTACGTGGCGGCGCACAGGTCTAATGTGTGGTGGTGTCCGGTCGTCGGCATCAGCAGCAGCCGCAGCAGCAGTGCTTTCGGCACGTGGCGTTGAACATTGTTCTCCAGTACACAACGGAAGGCTGCCGGCAAGCAGCGAGCTGCAGCCACATGAGCATCCATAGAAGGAGGAAGAAGCCGCACCGCTATTGATCGGAATCAGTAGCTCTTCGTGAGTCGCTATGGGCCATCTATTTCAAGCTTAAGAGTATAAACAGGAGAACCCTGCTCAAATTCCTATTTGCTGGCGCCGGTGGTGTAGTGGTAAGTGTGACTGCTTTCTCACCCCAATGGGTCTGGGTTCAATACCAGCCGAGGTCGGTGGGATTTTTCTGAGGCATAAAAATCTCTGGTCACGTCTTCCTTCGGAAGGGAAGTAAAGACGTTGGTCCCGGCCCATGTGTGTTTGAATGGGTGCGATATCCTACGCAGGTGTGGAAGCTGCCTTCCTGCACATTCGATTGCCGTCAATGGATGGCAATCGATGTCCGTCGGTGATTGGCACTAGATTGCGGAACAGAGACCGACCTTAAATAAAGGAAAAAATAAATAATTCCTATTTCTACACGAAACACAAGCTCCTGCTGCAGTTTAAAAATAAGATTTTTTATATGACACCCCGTAGTCCTACGTCACCATTGCGTACAACCCTATAGGGCTGTCCCTTGTAGTTTTTTAGAACGCTGGGTGCATACCACCATTCTACAGGAAGTGTGGTACTAGGATGTTTACGTACTTACAAGAAATCTTGACAATTGAAATGAAAGCGATTCACTTTAACTTAATGAATTACAGTTTCTTATAAAAGATTAGGCAACATCGATATGACAACGGAAAATTATGTATATGCAACTATGAAACATACTTCGATGAAATATTTCACATCAAAAACTTCCTCTTATGTTTCAGCTTCTGCTTCAGCCTGATCGCAAAATAAGTGAAATACTTTCAAATTTCCACTCTCTTAGATCGAGCTGAAAAACTTTTCCGCATCAAGTATCTTAAATCTTCCCTATTATCTTCCACATTCCCCAATATAAGAAGGTTTCATAGTTCATACCAAACTGTTACGCTCACTGCAGCGAAAATATTTCCCTCCCCAACTGAACCATTTTCGTCGCCAACAACTATAGCAATCCAGCCTACCACCACCACCACCACCCACTCGGCAACAACCCCACCACTATCGCGTGTGAAAAAGCTCCGATAACACCGCGGGACGAACAAAAGCAGAAGAAGCGCATTAAATCAAAATCCTTAAATATCGCTCAAAAACCATGCCCGCGATATTAAAAGCCATTATTCTCTTCCACCCCCCTCTTTAGCTTTCACAGCCCAGCCCGGTCCGGTTCAGCACGGGGAGATAAGATTTCCATGGGCCGATAATTTATGACCATATCACACTGGAAAAAAAAACCAACGACGCTAGCCGTGGACAGCCAAAAATAGAATCCCGGAAGCGGAAGAGTCTATCGAAACGAGTTTAGCTTAATACAAGTTTCAGAGGGGAAAAGTGCTTGACGGGGGCGGGTTTTGTGAAGTGATTTGACCTTCGTCGTCGCCCAGGAGCGGGGGGATAAAATTAAGAATGAGATTTGGTTCCGGTGATTTTTCCCAACAGCCCCGGTCGAGGGGGAAGAAGGATGCAGCGACGGTGCTGGTGAAAGCGAGCGGCTCGCCAGTCGTGCTGGTGATGATTTATTCCGAGTGAACGAGCCCGGCTCAGTTGGGAATGGGAAGTGACCGGTTTGTGTTTCCGAATTGAGGTAGTTTGTTTTTTTCAGTTCGTCGTCGATTCGAGCGTGAATGAGTGAGTAGGAGAGAAACACAGTGTGAAGCGGAAGTCAGAAATTTCGAAATAAAGTGTACACAAACGAGTGCAAGCGTAAAAAATTGGCTGCCCAGAGGAACTGGCGCCGCAGCAACAGTGTGGGGTACAAGGGAAACAAGTGAAGTCGTGAAAATTGCTTCGAAGAAAAATGGCCACGACATATGGTCGACCTGGACAGGTAATGTGTTCCAATATTTCTTGTAGTGCATGCTTTTGGGTAGAAATTTATTGTCTCGTTGATTCTCGGCTACAAGCCCATTGAAGTAAAACAAGTAGGAGTGTTCGATTTGAATTGACTTCTACAATGCTATCACACCGAATCAACAGTCTGGATGATTACTAATTTGCTTGTGCCGTATTCCAATTTCCCAGGGGCTTCGAACGCAAAAAGAAAAGAAAGAAAATCAAACAACCTCAACAGAATCAAGCACATATCTTCCACCGCAGAAGCTGAAACCGTAATCATGTTTCGGAACATTTTCGTTATTTTGCATCATCGGTTGTGTGATAAAGATTCTCCCCCGCACCCTCTCTTCCTATCATCACCAAAATCGAATCCCCAGCAGAAAATGAAATCGGCATTTTTTTAGATTTCCCTCGTTCTTCCAACGGGGAAACGACGTAAAGAGACCCTCTTTAAAGGACGAAGAAACCAGTTGGGGTGGGTGGCTCTAAATTATGCATTATTTATGGTCCCACCCAGCACCACGGAACCGTTTTGCACCACACTTTCGCATGCGTATTGCAACATACACCTACCTACACAGACAGTTGCCGAACTAAGTTGAAATTCACATTTAATGTAGCTTTCAACGAGTGCCACTTGTAGGCGTACGAATGTGTAACGTCTGTGGCTGTTGAGTGTTGGTTAGCATAATAGTACTTCTTCGAAGCATGTTGGTAGTTCTGTGCAAAAAATATCCACAAACAAATCTAGAAAGAAAAACTCTTTTTTTTTTGCGACAGTAACAATCTTTCGCAGCTCATGAACTTTTCTACAATTTTACTATCTGAAGCTGAGCTTCTTTCTATTGTTTTCTACGGAAAGGCGACATACACGGATGATGATGAAACCGAGTCAGCAAATAGTTGAATTCGACTGCAGTTTTTCCAAAAGTGAATTTGTTCACAAAGCGAGTAAAATGTTCAAAGCTTTTCTGGGAATATTAAGGAAATCGATGAAAATTTTACTCAGTTTATTAGGATTCTAGTTAAACATGGCTCCAGGAAAATCACGGAAAATTCAATTTACTTTTGAGCAAATCGACTTTTGACAAAATTGAGTCAAATTCTGCTCCATTTTGAGTCGGTTTTGTCGGCCGTGTAAAACACCCCGATGAAAATGGTTGCTATGCGGTGATGTGCTTTTCGTATGTGGGAGGAATATGACTTGCAACACATGGACAGATAAATACTATCATTATTACAAAGGCATCAGGTGTGTGAAGGGCTGAAACGGTGTCATTAGGTTGTCTTTGTGGTTTTGCAAAGATAATCATAGACATACATAAAGGAACCGGTATTTTCGGATGGAGTTTTAGCTGGCATTCCCTTTTCCCAATTCCTTTGGTAGCAAGAATACCAAACCATTATCATGCTTTGCTACTTTTAATATCTTACCTAAATTAAAAGCAATGTATTCAATTTCTGCTTTCCCAACAACTTCAGATGCCGAAACAATCTTCACGCAAGAAGCACATGCACTCAATTTGTATTGAGATTCATAAGCCATAATCCTTTCTTTTTGGATAAAGCAGTTTCCATTCTTTCCGTTCTCTAGAAAGCTTCAGCATTAGCAGCCAGCGTTGCAAGTTTCGTTGGTGACTGTGAGCAACAGAAGGAAACTTGTTGGTTGTTGGCAAGTCGCTCAAAACAAATGCCGTTCCTTTGCCGTTAGTTTAAATTTAATGTTCGGAACGTGATTCGATTAGCTTTAAGCTGCATCAGTCGGGAGCCTTGTTGTGGCACTTGTAGGGTGCTGCTAGCTCGGGTTTTATTTTCCTATAGCGACAGTAGATGCCATAAAGTTTATTATTTGAAAAATATCATGATTAATACACCTACCGGTGCCATGTTCCTTTCCCGCAGGGTGGAATTGTGAATTAAAATTCCCGGTTAAATTAAAACAGCTAGGTATGATGGAAATACTACAAGAAACAATACAGGTTTTATCGAGGTTTGACAAGAGCGGGGTCTTTAACTGCACGATAAAACCAAAAGTGTTACTTGGGGCGCAGATTATTATTTCGAATAACTTTTGATTGGTCTTTTGTTGTGAGATCAAAGAACGTAGTTTTCAAGGAAATTTATAAGAAATTTGCTACACAATTCCTGTGAAAATCTTTGACACATTTTAAAAAGAATCTCAACGGAACCTTTTGAAGAAATCCAAATAAATTCTGAGGAGAATTTGAAACGAATTTTTGAGGATACTTTGTGATGAGAATTTTATAATAATTTTGTTTAGATTTTCAAGATGAACTCCAAGGAAAAAAAAGGCAATTATGGAGACAAATTTGAGCGGATTATTTATTCATTTATTGATTTATTTATTTATATCTTTATTTGATTTTTTATTAATTTATATTTTAATTATCTATTATTTATTTTTACTTTTTTTTATTGAATGATTTGTAATTTATATCTCTATATATTTTATTAAATATTCCTTATTTTTATGTTTTATTTATTTTTTATTATTATTTTTTTTAATTTATTTATTTTATTTTATTTTGTTTTTAATTTTTTTACTTCGTTTATTTATTTATTTATTTACTTATTTATTCGTGTTTTATTATTTATTTATTTATTTAGTTATGTGTTGCTTTTTATTTTTGTTTTATTTATTCATTTATTTATTTATTACTTTATTTATTTATTTATTTATTTATTTATTTATTTATTTATTTATTTATTAATTTATTTATTTATTTATTTATTTATTTATTTATTTATTTATTTATTTATTTATTTATTTATTTATTTATTTATTTATTTATTTATTTATTTATTTATTTATTTATTTATTTATTTATTTATTTATTTATTTATTTATTTATTTATTTATTTATTTATTTATTTATTTATTTATTTATTTATTTATTTATTTATTTATTTATTTATTTATTTATTTATTTATTTATTTATTTATTTATTTATTTATTTATTTATTTATTTATTTATTTATTTATTTATTTATTTATTTATTTATTTATTTATTTATTTATTTATTTATTTATTTATTTATTTATTTATTTATTTATTTATTTATTTATTCATTTATTTATTTATTTATTTATTTATTTATTTATTTATTTATTTATTTATTTATTTATTTATTTATTTATTTATTTATTTATTTATTTATTTATTTATTTATTTATTTATTTATTTATTTATTTATTTATTTATTTATTTATTTATTTATTTATTTATTTATTTATTTATTTATTTATTTATTTATTTATTTATTTATTTATTTATTTATTTATTTATTTATTTATTTATTTATTTATTTATTTATTTATTTATTTATTTATTTATTTATTTATTTATTTATTTATTTATTTATTTATTTATTTATTTATTTATTTATTTATTTATTTATTTATTTATTTATTTATTTATTTATTTATTTATTTATTTATTTATTTATTTATTTATTTATTTATTTATTTATTTATTTATTTATTTATTTATTTATTTATTTATTTATTTATTTATTTATTTATTGATTTATTTATTTATTTATTTATTTATTTATTTATTTATTTATTTATTTATTTATTTATTTATTTATTTATTTATTTATTTATTTATTTATTTATTTATTTATTTATTAAGTTATTTATTTATTTATTTATTTATTTATTTATTTATTTATTTATTTATTTATTTATTTATTTATTTATTTATTTATTTATTTATTTATTTATTTATTTATTTATTTATTTATTTATTTATTTATTTATTTATTTATTTATTTATTTATTTATTTATTTATTTATTTATTTATTTATTTATTTATTTATTTATTTATTTATTTATTTATTTATTTATTTATCAAAAAACATGTAAAACATCTTGGAATAGTTAAGGCATTTGACCTAGAAGATCGTGAAGAAATTGAGAAGTTTTGAAGTTATATTGGGCTATGATTTAGAATTTTGAATTTTTGTCGTCAAATTCTTAGATAAACTGCGGCGCCAGTGGTGTATTAATAAGCGAAAACCGACATCGGGTCGACTTGTCTGTTCGGGACCATTTTTCTGGATTTCTTCCATACTACACTGTCGTATATCAAATGATAGTGAGTGACTCAATTGACAGTGACAATGAGCTTCGAATGAGAAAGGGGCTCTTCAAATTATGGTCATGTGAGAATTCGTTTACACAGAATTGCTTGCATAGTTGTATTGGTTCATCTTCAATCGAATGATATGAAAATTTACAGCGCTGCCAGGGAGGCAACTTCAAAATCATCTTCAGAACTTTGTTCTGAATCCTTTGAGGTGCTTTTTTCCTGGTAGTGCAGCAACTAGACCATATTGGCACAGCGTAAAGCATGGCCGGTCTTAAAACTTGTTTAAATATAAGAAGTTTATTCGTCAGGCAAAGTTTGGATTTCCTGTTAATAATAGGATACAAACATTTTATATATTTGTTACAATTTGGCTTGACTGCCCTCAGTGTGATCTTTAAAAGTTAATTTTTGGTCAAGATATTTCACTTGGTTTGATCAGGAAATTGGAACTCCGCTCATAGTGACTATGTGACTACTACTAGGTTTCAAAAAGGAAGCTCTAGGCTTATGTAGAAATATTTTAAGTTGAGTTTTGGAAGCGATGGGAGAAATCTTCCTTTTTTGTAAATAAGAAGTGAAAATATCTAAACGTTTCTGCAGTCTGCTGTAAATAACACGAAGACTTCTTCTTTTAGCTGAAATGCCTGTGTGATCGGCGAAGAAATATTTGAGGCAACTCTGAGGCAAATCAGGGAGGTCCAAAGTGAAAATGTTATACAATATAGGCCCAAGAATGCTACCTTGAGGAACTCCTGCTCTAACAGGTAGTCGATTAGATTTGGAATTTTGATAATTTACCTGCAGAGTTCTGTCAGTTAAATAATTTTGAACTAATTTCATTATATAAAGTGGAAAATTAAACTTTTTCAATTTAG